GGGAGGCTGATGGCGGTGGGGGGAAGGTGCAGAGTTGTAGGGACAGCAAGTTTGGAAGGTCATAAGTGATCGGCCAAAGGCAGAGGGGCAGCCGAAAGGTGTTGGACGGCAAGTAAAAGCAGGAGATGGAGCGGCAGAGGCTAGGGAAGGGGATTAGGAGTGACCGGTGGCTAAGGGGAAGGAGGAGGGCTGGATAGCCAAAAGGGAGGAAGATACACACCATCTTGGAGTAGTATATAGTCGGAGCACCACCACTTCATCGCATACAACCCACAAAGAAGAAAGAAGTCCACATAGGAATCTGAAATCAACACACGGCAAAAACTCCCTCTAAACTCTGAAAACAGCAAATAAATACTCTTACATGAAGAAGAAAGAAAAAAGATAAAGAAGAAAACTCCCACACAAAAGGAAGACATGGGGAGGTAAAAAATAATCAGAAATTGGCTATAAAAATACTTCCAAATGAAGAAGAGGCGGAAAAGGAAGGAGGAGAGGGCGCCAAAAACCATTCGCACCATCAAAATCCCGCCCCAGCCTGCTCAGCCTGGGTTCTCCCTAAACATGCCTCAATTGGGTCGGTTGGTTCACTAGCGGGAGTTCCCGCTCCCGTGTTCCTGCTGGGGGAGAACCCTCCTCCCGTGTGGCCAAGGCAAAGCCTTACGTCAGTCTCCCGTGGTCGGGGGAGCTTCGACCTCATTTTTTTGAAGCTTAGGGTTTTCATCGGTCGTTACTGGATCCCACTGGTGATTGCGTTAGCTACCAAAGCATTTGAGGAGTTTTTCCCACTTACGATCATACCCCCCCTATCGATCTGTTCTAGTTTGGCATAATTTGAGCCGAAGGTACACCATTGCGTAAATTTTCCCAATCTAAATTTCAAACAAGTAAATATCCCATATGTTTTCCATCTATGACAAGTTGGGCCTCAGCGAGGTTGAGGGTTTGCAAGAGTTTGGTTTATGGGTGATTCTTATTATCTTTCGGGTCTTCCCTCTAACTCTTGAGGTTTTGTAGAACTGACATCTTTTGTTGCGTTCCTTTTGTTTCTTCATATGGAACACTGGGATGAAGCCTGAAAGTGTAACCTCCCGTGATGCTATTAATTGGTCATTACTAAGGCCATCCACTGAAATTTTAAATTCAGACATCTTCCAGTCTGCGTGATTTTTACAAGTTTAAACAAAAAGTTCTCATCTTCTAGGAGAGTAGGAACCACAATTTCGTCAAAAGTCGCATGTTCATTTTGATCATATGGAAAAAATGCATTGGAAGTATCCACGAACAAGCGACTTTCACGGGGGAAGGCATCGTAGACTGAAAATTCTTATTTGGACTGCTCTTCAGTGTATGTGGTGTCTTTACCCAACTTTTTGATGACGCCCTGTTTGGCGAAATAGATCACTCCCCTGGTTATACATTTTGTTTCAACATATCCAAATTCGTGGAACTTGCACATTTTCTAGTCGTGACAGACTTGCATATTGGTTTTGTTGGATAGTAGCAGGGGTTCGCTTGGTGATGCGATCGCTCTCTTTCCGACGCTAGAGTCTGCAACTTTTAGCAGTAGTAAGTTGATAGAAATTGACGGAGTGTTTCTCGCTTCATCTTTATATCTTCTCGTTCATTATTCAGCATTTCAGATCATGGTCGAGGGTAGCCTTCCATTGAATTTCATCTTCCAAGTCCGCAATCCACTAGCGAAGTTGGTGTACCTCTTGTCGTATCTCCTCCAAGTAGGCTCAGGTATGTAACTCCTTAGTGGCATGGCTAAGGTTTAGAGTTGGGAGATGAAAGATAGTGTATAAAACTAATTTAAGGTATAAAAAAATTGCTTTGGGATTGTTGATTTTAAAAATCAGCAAAGAGAATTTAGGTTTTGGTTTTAGCATTGGTGGTCAGGGTAAGAAAAAATTTTTCGGTGGCAGGGTAAGCCGAATGCTAGGAAACTCTAGGATTTGACTGGGATTAAGCTAGCACTGATACCGAATGACACCAGAACTAGTAGGATAAGCAGCGGAAACACTCAAAACAATCTTCTACTAATATAGAAAGAAGGTTACAATGCAACACAGCAGAAAATAACAACAAAAAACACCAACGACGCAAATAACACCTCTAGCGTGTATTCCAAGGGCGGTGGATATCAGCGAGGTGGATCAAGGTGGTTGGCAAGGGTAGTTTTCAGCAAAGGGAGGCTGATGGCAGCAAGGGAAGGTGCAAAGTTACAGGAAAAACAAGTTTGGAGGGTCGTCGGTGACTGGCGGAAGGTGGAGGGGTGGTCGAAAGGTCCTAGACAACAAGGTAAATGCAGGAGATGGAGTGGCAGAGGTTGGGGAAGGGGATTAGGAGTGACCGACAGCAAAAGGGAAGGAGGAAGAGGGCTGGATAGTCAAGTGGGAGGAAGATACACACCACTTTAGAGTAGGATATAGCCGGACAACCACCACCTCCTCAGATACAGCCGACCAAGGGGAAACGAACTCTAACTAGGAATCGTAAATCAACACACAACAATAGCTCCCTTTAAAATCTGAAAGCAGCAAATAAATAGACTCTTAAATGAAGAAGAATGTCCTGTTAGGTTTGAGCTACAACTGGAGCACCACCTAGAACAAGTTACAACCAGTACCTTCTCATCGTGAAGTATAGCTCCCAAAGCGGAAGAACACCTCTAAGGCAACACTCAGAAATATGTACTCATCAAACTCCTCCCAAACCTTAGAAAACACACCTATATAAAGCGGGGATTAGTATATAAAATAGGTAAAGAGGAGGATAGGAAAAAGTTATAATAGGCAAGGAGAGGAATAGGAAAGAATTAGAGAAGAAAATGAACTATAATGAGAAATCATCACGAAAGGAATGAAAAGGAAAAGAAATGAAAGAGATTAAATAGAAAATGGGGGTCGCGGTTGTTGAAATGACTATAGTAACTGCGTCAGCGGTACTGTAGCTACTACAGTAACCGTGGGCGATAAGCTCCCGTGTCAATCTTCAGGGTTTGGGAAGGTTCAACTTCATCCGTCGAAGCTTTTAGGGTAGAAAAATTTTGGTAGGAGGTGGCATGAGTGGGGGCAGATGCTAGGGAACCCTAGGATAGGACTAGATTTTGGCTAGGTCTGATATTAAATGACACAGAAACTAGTAGGATAAAAAAAAGTAAACATCAAAACATTCTTTTATTAATGTAGACAAAGCAACACAACAGAAAATAACAACACAAAACATCAATGATGCAAGAAACACCCCTAGGATGTATTCCAAGAACGGTGGGGGTCGGCTAGGTGGATCAGGGTGGTTTTCAAGGGTAGTGGCAGCAAAGGGAGGCTGATGGCAATGTGGAGAAGGTGCAAAATTGCAGGTACGACAGGTTTGGAGAGTCATAGGTGACCGATGGAAGGTGGAGGGGACAGCTGGAACGTGTTGGACAACAAGATAAACTTAGAAGATGGAGCGGCGGAGGTTGGGAAAGGGGATTAGGAGTGACCGGCAGCTAAGGAGGAGGAGGGTTGGATAGCCAAAAGGGAGGAAGATACACACCACCTTGGAATGAGATACTGTCAAAGCACCACCACCTCCTCGGATACAGCCCACAAAGGAAAAAAGAACTGTCTCTAAACACACAGCAAAAACTACCTCTAAACTCTGAAAACAACAAATAAATAAACTCTTACATGAAGAAGAAAGGAAAGAGATAAAGAAGGAAACACCCACACAAGGGGTGGGGAGGTCATAAATATTCAGAAATTAGCCATAAAAATACTTCCAAATGAAGAAGTAGAAAAGGAAGAAGGAGAGGGTGCGGAAGGCCGCGAGCCCATCAAAATCCCGCCCCAACCCGCTCGGTCTGGGCTCACCTTGAACCGGCCTCAATAGAGCCAGCTGATTCACTAGTAGAAGTTCTCGTTCCCGTGTTCCCGCTGCGGGAGAACCCTGCTCCCACGTGGCCAAGGCAAAGCCCCATGTCAGTGTGTGCATGCATGTATACACACAGATGCATATTTGTGTGTGTGTGTGTGTGTGAATCAAGGTTGGCTCAAATGATTATAGCCGTCGAGAATCTAGAAATCCCCATAGCATTCTATGATGTTTGACTTATTGAATTCTTTTCTTTTATTGAATTTTATTTCCTCAACTCGTGTTTCTCCTTATTTGATATTCAAAAAAGGGTTGGCTTATGAAGCAAGCACAAAAAAATGTGTGTACTAAGGTAGTACCATCAAAGGTATCGCCACTTAAATGCCAAAGTAGTTACTAAGACGACTTAAATCAAATATGATGAATCATGTTCTCATGATCAAAGTGCAATAGTTTATTTGTAATATAAGTGTCTCTCATATTTATGATATGTCAAGAGGTCTCAAAAAAGGTCCAAGGGATGTGCTAAACTTGCGGAAATTAGAGAACATGACATGCCAAATGGTGAATCTGGCATGGTGTCCTAGACTTTCCCTGTGTCTGACATAATAGGACTCTCTAGAAGTGTTTGTACTTCAAAAAAAAGGAAAAAATATTAAGAAGGCATCAGACCATGCCCTAAGGGAAATCTATATTGCTTAAGGGGTTGTTATGCAATGTTATCCTATTTGGAGATATCATTTGTTTGGTTTGGCAACATCTTCAAAAACTAATTTCACAAATGACATAAATTTTGTTCTGATAACATCAAAATATCAGCTAAATTTGTCGTTTATGAAAAATGTCAACAAATAAACAACGTAAGAATCCTTGATTATTCTAGATAATATTTACATTGTTTAAATAAGGTAGCATTGAACCGAGTAAGCTGCATTCGATGGACACTAGTGTTGTCCGAATAACTTTATTATGCTTACAACACTGATCTAGATAGAATTAAACCAAACACCTAAGTACCATTTAAGAACGCCAATCAATTTTGCTTATAAACAGCGCAACTTGCTCCAATTCTATATAAATAACAAGGTAAACCAAAGAATTACATCATGCAGAAAAGAACCTGAAACTAGGATATTAACCTGGGAGCGAGGAAAGATATCGGAAATAAGCTTTTTGTATCTCTTCACAGGTTGCCGGGATCTGGCCCTCAAAGCTGGACAGAAGCAACAAATACTACCGCAGACGGGCAGCACCCGCCTGGACATAACCCCCATTCCGCCTCTCTCTCTATCTATCTCTTCTCAGTTGCTGCTATTTTTTTCCACCTTTCTCAAACTTCGTTCGGGAAGAAAATTGTACTCAGTTACAGCAAGAACCGATTTCGATGAAAACAATGATTATCTTGCAGGCGTTCCCTCGTTTAGAATTGGGATCAACCTGCAATCAACAATTATGAAATTTCATCCTGCGATCATGGAGGCAAGATTTGAAGAAGAACTCACCTCGGCTGACTGGTTCTCGATCGGGGCAGAGATCCTGCGACCGCCCTCACCGAGTTGTTGTCCAAACTTCTTCCCTGCTAAATAGTTTCCCTTGAGGAAAAAAATATTTCGGAATATTCTGTTACAGATTTATTAAATTTATTTTAAAATTACTGTTATATACAAATATATATATATATATATGGGGGGAGTTAAATTGGATTTAATAAATTTGATTAATGTCTTAAATTTAATATTAAATACATTAAATATTTTTTATTATATTTGACATAAATCTACTCTTATGATTTTTCTCTTAAGCTAACTCGGTTAAATTCATGTGATGAACAAATTTAATAAATCTGAATTTATGTTAATAATGTTTGGCTCGATTTAACGAACATCGAAGGTATATTCAATTATTTTTAAGTTCATCTTAATATAATTTGTAGCAATGAATGATGCTAGAATTATTTATTTATTTATCTATATAATATTTATCTCAATTTTATTATCTATTTTTTTATAATATTTTAATGTTTTAAATAATTTTTAAAATATCAATAATGTTAAATTGTTTAAAGTAAAATATATATTTTAATGTTTCATGATCATTATAAAGATTCAGATATTAGACATATAAACAAGTAAAACTCAACGATATGAATGAAATTTTCTTTAATATGATCCAATACGTAATATATACAACATATAAGTCATACCTAAAATTTAAAATATATTAAAACATCTTAATCCAATTTGTAAGAGTTTTATTATATTTAGATGTAATAACATTGCATGATTTTTAATCTAAAGATGAATTTAAAAATTTAGATCAAAGCCCATTAATGTAAAATATATGATAAATATTAAATCATTAATGTTTGTACATAATGAATATATATTCAAAATAATACAATTTGATGCGCGCTAGAAAATTTGCGGTGGTAGAGTAATGGATTATTGTTTTAGCATTGGACGAGAATTCAACACACATAGATAACAGAAAACAAGTAAGCGGAATGAGACACCTCTACCTTTTACGTAAAAACCCTTGAAAGGGGTAAAAACAACGGGGCGTAGCCAAATTGAAATAATCTATTATGAATGATAAGTGCACACATTCATTCTTCCCCTAAATTAGAGAAGATAGAGTTATGAAGTTGCATAACTATAATGTGACTGCAATTCTTGGTGACAACAAGTTACAATGGTCATTGTAGATGGTTACTCTAGAAGCGTTGATTGGCCAGAGAAGTCATAGTAAGCGGTTGCAGGAACTCTGAATCACATAGGTTGTAGTTGGTGAGTATTAATGATGTTTGTATGCCGCGGGGGCCGAACACGGTGTCTGCATGAGTTGATGACCACGTAGGTCGTTGGGGCAAATATTGTTGACATCCGTAGGCCGCTGGGGCCAGATTTAAGAATTGTATGAGCTGATGATCACGTAGGTCGTTGGGGCGAGTATTGATGACGTTTGTAGGCAGCTGTGGCCGAAGTCGGGAACTATATGAATTGATGATTGTGTAGGTCGTTGTTGACATATGGACCGTAGTGGTAAGCAGTGATAACGTTCATAGACCGTTGGGACAGGAGTCGGGAGCTGCATGAGTTGATGACCATGTTGGTCGTAGTTGGCATATGAACCGTAGTGGTGAGCTCTTGTCCCACAAACGGGAGAGGGTTGCTAGATTTTCCAAGTTACGACGTTGATTGATGGTGTCTGGCCTGCGGTAGTTGACAACAATCGGCGGTGGTCGGTGACAATCCGCGGACAACGGTCGATGATGGTCGACGACGATTAGTGATAGTTTTTCTGTTGTGCTTTGAGGGGAAGATTTTCATGCTCGTGTGGTAGTGATATCTTGGGACCCCCTAACGATCATCAGAAGTACTGGGGTTTTGGGGAGACGATGTCAACTCTACTCGAAGATGAGAGGATTTGTTGTAATTATTGTACAAGTATATATTGAACTTTGTAGCATTTTTTATCGTCTGATGTGGAATTTATAGATGATGATAATGTATTTCTTTGTTTCTTCTACAGTTGTTGTGGCTTCTTAATTGTGCAAAACTCTGCAATTAAAGTTAGCACACAAATTTTTATGAAGAATCGCGTACCTTTTGTGGTTCATGTTTTTCTAGGTTGTGCCCTTTCAGATCAATGTCTTATAGAAGCTTGAATCGGTACCGTAGCCTTCCGAGGTTTTTAGTGAAGACCCTCCTGGGTTCGTCTTCCAGTAGTATGGTAGCTTCTTATGGTATCTTCTTATCAAGTATTGTCTTCTGGGCTTGACTTTCAGGGTCATGGTTGAAAGGAGAATCCATTGAAGATGTAAGACCAGTTTTGAGTTGTATAACCAGTGATGCTCGATGGTATAAACCCGTAACAAAGCCATATTAAATCCACTAAGGATGGTTGACCTATACTAGGTTGTTGGACAAAGCTTTTGCTTGAAAATTGTAACCTATTATGAAAGAGGTTGAAGGAAATCCACTAAGGATTTTTTACCTATCCGAGGTTGTATGTTGAAGCTTTTGCTTGATGATTGTAGTCTATTATGGAAGAGGTCGAAGGAAATCTACCAAGGATTTTTGACCTTTTTTAGGCTATATGTCGATGCTTTTGCTTGATGACTATAGTCTATAATGGAAGAGGTCGAATCAAGTCTCCCTTGGATCGATTAAGCTTAGAATGAGGTGTCAGAGATACTCTACGTTTCTCGAGATTAGGGGTAAATCGTAATGGACTGTATGTTTTCTTGGAAATATGGTTGCAGTTATACTCATGAAAAATGTTTGACAACTTATTAGTTGTTGTTTTTGAGACTTTTTGTTCCTCAGCTTTGGCGTTTTCCATGTGAGCTTGCAAAACAACCCATGTATCGGGCTTTAATGAGATCAACTTCTTGATCTAATTGAAGAAGAACTCCAGTACGATGAGGGGGTGTTGAGAAAGTGTTATTTGTGGTGAAGATTGTCTCCCAGTACAGGAGCTATTCTCATAGACTTGTAATTTGAATGAAATGTGGGATGACCTCTCCACCACAGTTGTGCCAAGGATGTTAAAAGGAACAATCTTTCGAGATTGTAGTGAAGGGTGCACCCCCAACCTGAAAGAAGTTGTGAAATACTTTGTGTCTGAATAAAATGTGAGAATACAACCCTACTACAGTCGTGCTCGGGACGTTAATGTGAATGACCTTTTGAGACTGCAGTGAAGGTTGCCCCCCATATTGAAGAATGCATCAGAGATCATTTTCATGACGTGAATGATGTTCCTTCTCCAGTTGGATGAAGTACATCATTGGGAAAGGAAGTAGGGGCTCGGTGTCTTAGAGTTGAAGATAATGCAGAATGGGACTTCGTTCCCACAGATGGCGTCAAACTGATATGCACCAGAAAATTCGCGGCGGTAGAGTAATGAATTATTGTCTCAGCATTGCATAAGAATTCAACACACATAGATAACAGAAAGAAGTAAGCATGATGAGACACCTCTACTTTTTGTGTGGAAAACCCTTGAAAGGGGGAAAAACTACGAGGTCTAGCCCAGTTGAAATAATTCATTATGAATGATGAGTACACACGTTCATTCTTCCCCTAAATTAAGGAAGATAGAATTACAAAGTTGCATCATTATAATCTGGATGGAATTCTTGGTGACAACAAGTTGCAAGGGTCATTGTAGATGGTTGCTCCATAAGCATTGATTGGTCAGAGAAGCAAGTTGTTGACATATGGACCGTAGTGGTAAGCAGTGATGACGTTCCCTGGGATTGCCATCCTATCCTCTAAGAAAGTCATCCTTCCTCATGGGTTACTCATCCAACCTTTCCTTTGATCTATTTCTTCTTTCCCTTTGGTTAGACACCATCTCTCCAGATAGATATCTCTTAATTATTTATTGAGTTTAGAATATTGACTTATTGTTAGGTTATTCATCTTATTCATTGGGTTATTCTTATATTCCTAAGGTTATTTATTCTTCCTCTTAAAATTGTTTACTTTTAGATATATATTCTTTTATTTAGGATTAGCCTCTCTTAAGATAGACTTCATCTTTCTTTATATGATAGTCATTCTCTCTCAGGATTAGACATCCCTTTATTTAAAACAACTCTCCCTTTCTTTAGGCTAGAGTATATCTCCCTAGCATGTATATCCTCTTTCTTAGATTAGTTACCCTTTCTTTCTGAATTAGTGCTTACTTTCATAGTTTAGAATCTCTTTCATTAGGATTAGTCAACCTATCTTCTAAAGTAGTTTGCCTATCCTTTAGGCTAGCTTCTTTTTATTAGGTTGTTATCCCTTGGTTTCATCCATTATTATCCTACTCACTTATATTTTTTTATTCGAGAGCTTCCATTTACTAAAGTTTGGGATTTTTGGATGGTTAAATATTATCCAATGTTTTAGAATATTAGTTTTTCTTCATTGTCTTGAATGTTTCCAAATCAAAAATATATTTCTCAAACATTAAAGCAATGATATTCTCATAGGAAGAACTTCTTTATAATTAGAACTTGGGTTACTTTGATCACAATCTCATAATTGTTTTTCCCCCATGCTAGGTGCTCACCCATATCCTTCACCATTATATGAACACACTTCCAAATCATTATAAGTAAGGTTTAGTGTTTGTTAGGGATCTCCGTGTTTACACATATCTGTTGATTTACTTGATTAAACTTCAACGCTCTTTGACTACAACTCATCTTTCTTTTTTAAGTTTGTATATTTTCTCATAAGAAGTGATTAATTTTGAATAAACACAAGTACACGTGATATTTTTTAATTGAGAGATTTCTCAAACTTACCTAAATACGTAATTAATAATGAGAACATTGTTTTTTTTTTTTTTTGTAAGCTCAGACTTCCATAATATCTTTCACATATAGGAACATCAATGGGATTTAGTTATCTAACTTGCTAGAATCATGGGTTAATAGAGCATGCTAGTTTAGGATTTCTTCATTATAATATATTAATATCATCTCAAGTCATTTTCTCTTAATTTTCTTCTGTATGTTCTAATTAACATGGAAAATATTAACCAAAACATCACCATGATTTGATGTAGATGGCATGCTTCCTCATTTTTAATTATCTTTTCCTTTTCCTTGGAACTAATCGACCACATGCTTCCTTGGAACTAAGTAGCCTCATGCATGTTTTTATTTCAATTTTCAATGAAAATGTGAGGAATAGATATATGTGCATCATATTGTATCAAGAAGAAAATTTTGAGCAATAAATTCGATTGATTAGATTATTATTCTTAGTTTATAATTTTTTTAATTTGTAATTCAATTTTAATTTAAGAAAACATATTTTGTTTTAATGTTTAAAAGGTAGAAAAATATAGAAGCTAAGCTAAACAAAAATTGAATATATTCCTCACATTGATTTATCCAACAACAAAAAAAAAACAAAAAATTACAACGCACATGCCATCATTTATTGACTGAGTAGCATGCAGTGTAGTGGATAGTTGTGAAAGCAATGTACATGAAGGAAAATAACAACTAGAATTTAGAACTTATTTATATGATCTTAATCATGTCCATGGCTTCTAAGAGCCATTGTTGTGGAAGACTGAAGCCTTTCTTCATGTTGCTTCGCTACTATCTGCAAGTTGAAGTCAATAGAAGAAGATATTTAGGAATCTACTACATTTAAATTGCATTCATGTATAAACAATAACATATTTCTTCTTGCATTGATGTTTTGCATTTAAAAAATATTCTTCATGTATTTTTTTAATCTAGTCTTTTAAGAAAATATTATCATGCATAAATACAAATTTTTAGTTTAGAAGAAAACATGAGAATAATATTTTCTTTCATTGTGCTCTATTGATCATTCTATTTATATAGTATATTAATTGCAGAGTTATGTCAGATTAACTTGTGTTTGAAAAGTTTTGTACTTTTTACATTCAACACATGTATTGTTTAATTTGCCAATAATTAGAAACACAAGAGTTAGAGCATCACATAACATACTCTTTCATCAACGTCATCAAATTAATGATCGACAGATGTGGGTGGCCTCGATGCCGCTTGGGGAACCTCATCATTCTTCGCAAACCTTCCTCGAACTCGATGTCTGCTATCGGCTAGAATCTTCCTACATGGATACTATAACATTTTGTTTCATGTAAGTGACATTGTAACATAAATATTAGAAATTAAAGATTTATGTGAAACTTCTCAGCCATATTTACATTGATTTTTCTGTTATAATTTCTGGCTTTTTTCTTCTCCTTGTACCTATTTATCTTATTATTCTTCTCCGCTAATGTTAACTTGGGAACCTTAAAATCTGATTCATCTATTTTTGACTCATCTTTAGCAGCCACTTGTAATGGAGCCATGCTCGTGCTACATCCGACCATTGGTTGGTTGCTATCTCTTAACACCTTCAGAGAAATTTTGATTATAATTTAACTAAACAACTTTGCAGGGGGTTTATATATATATATATATATATATATATACCTGTTAAATCCCAAATTGCCTTACCAGGCACGCCTCGAGAGATAGACCACTAAAGAAAAGAGAGAACACAATACTAGATGTAATGAGTGTGTAACTATTTATTCATAAAACAACCCATATTTATAAACATAAGTGACTTACCAAAGGAAAATATGTTGAGATTTTC